TAAGTGCAGACCCAATTGGAGCATTTTTAAAAAAGAAAAATCTATAAATAAATAAATGAATTATACATTTATGAAAGGTGCATTTTCTGACTTTATTTTTGTTATATTTTTGCAATACAGGAGTCAGAAGGCTAGAAGTTCTATGTTGTTTTGCCTGCCTGTCAGTAGTTGTACACTATGCCGTATTCATGACGTTTTATCCTGCAGTTTTGTCTTTAATATTGGAGGTATGTTATTTGAAGCTTAAGTATAATACTGAAACACAAAATTTCTGTAATATCTCATCTGATATTGTATACTTTACCTTTCTTTAATTTTTATTCCATTTTTTAGGTACCTCATCAATTGTTTGAGTCCATTTTCTTGAAAAAAACAAAACTCTCCGAAAGATTGTGCCAAAACGGCTTTAACTTTTTTCGGAAATGCCGACTTAGGTCGATGTCTCTTATGCCTCAGTGGAAATTGAAACTAAAAATTTGAGTTTCATGAAAAAAGTGAATCATTGCAAAAATTTAGTTTAAGGGATGGCTCTGAATAGCTGGAAATTAGAAAATCAAGAGTTACTACAAGTAACAAACATTTTTCCACCAAATTTAGTTTTGGACAGAAAACATTAGGGTCAACAAAGAAGAAAAAACATTTGCTTTATACCATGTTTCAGAGTGGCAAGCTGTATATTTGGAGAGCCTCAATCAATGATCCTAATTTTTTAAGCAACTCTCTACAAAACCAATAATTTCATACTTTTCATCCCCCTTAATTTCATTTCTTAATATTTCATTTTCCTCTTTTATCAGTTACTGAGATGCGGTCCTGGAAGCAGAATACCTAGTTCTGAGAAATCATTGTTAATGAAAGCGTTACACTTGGAAGATCAGAAACAAAACCCAGTTGTTCAACGAGTGAAAGTTATCATGTCAGCTGGCTTGGTCGTTGTTCATGCGCACAGGTGAGAAAATTTCAGGAACCTGATAAGTTCTAGTACAGCTTCAAAACAATTTAAGACTCTAATCCTGAGCATCAGCCTATGTTAGGGCATTTTTATTGCTAGGAATTTATGCGTTTATTTATTCATAGTTTTCCCCTCAAAACAGAGTGCTATTGTTAGGTGCGAAGTGGACAACAGTGAAGCAATAACAACCTAAAATAGCTCCTGGAGAGTGTAAAAATACCGAAAGCAGTGTTCGTTGCAGAGATGTAACTGATAAGATCCATTGTTGCTTCTTTTATAATGTTCCTCACCTCTGCAACGGAGGTTATTCCGAAAATGAATATTTTTTGCTCCGCCTTTTCTGAGGTCATGAGTGCTGCAACCATAATGATCGCATGTAGGTACACAATCTTCATTTTCAAACTCTAGGTTCTCTCAGTATTTCTGAATTCAACTCATCGTCACGTAACACCTAAGTCAAAAAATATTTAAAGTGTTGAAAATTAAAAGTAGTGTTTTACCAACAAATTTTGTGCAAAGTCAAGATTACTCGAGATTGTTTCATCTATTTTATTTGCAATGGAATTTCTACATTTTCCAAAATACCATTTAT